TGTAATTAAAATTAATATTTCATTCAATATTTCGTTCACATGTTTGCTATATGTAACTACCTGAGATTATATCTCTTATAAAAAAAACAACCTAAACAAACTTTCGCAATCTTTTTTTTCTCACAGTTTAAAAAATTGTATTCTTCCTACTTATTTCAGGGGAATTTATTAAACGGGTTCAAATATAGTTAGTTATATACCCCAGCTTTTTATTAGTGTCTAAAATTTCATCGGTACGCCTCTGATTATGAATTATCGTTGAACAGGTCTTTTGAAAACTGCGCCCTGAAATTAACATTCGCCGTCTTTAACACCTAATATCTAACTGGTCACCGATCTCACGTTCAACTAATCAAAAATTACACTGTTCTTAACTCACCGTTTATTACACGCCGTTTTTCCCTCTCACCGACGAATAAGAAAAAAAACTAGCATTGAAAATTATACTCTTAGTTCACTAAATTGTCCAGCGAAATATTAGAAAACACACCATCAAAGCTTTATCTACCTATAGGGTTGCTAATTTCGAATTCACAATATTAATAATACATTTATAACGTCTTTATTAGACCGATTAACGGTTAATTTGAGTTGTATAAAAATTTTTGCCAGTGTCAGAGCTTAATTTACAAATTAAATTTATTTAACGAACGAAACTAAACAGATTTATTGGTTATTGTTCGTTAATCGCGAGCAACTAGTGCATAAATAGCGACCGATGTTTATTAAAACATTTGTATAATTAAAACGTTTTTAGTAGTTCTATCGTACGTTTAAAAATGGCAACATACATGAATGAAACCACTCGTAAACATTGTTTTCTAGGTGCTATAATAGAAAGTTTATATATAATTATTAACCCGTCCTGGTATATGTTAATTTTTATATAGGGATCAAATAAAAATTTATCGACCACAAATTTGTAGTAGATAGTGAACTTTTTATGTGGTTCCTTTGTCGATCGTTAAAACAATCCCGAAACTGTTCGGTTGATAGCAAATGAGTTTCAGGAAAAAAAATCGCGAAATAAACGGCTGGAATTTTGGGTGGAAGCAATAACGAAATAAGCCCGTTTTCAAAGCTTCCGACACGCTAACCAGAAAATTGCATTTTAAACTTGTATACACCCAACGCAATCCACTATAGTTGCTATAAATTATGTACGGTGGGTATTGAATTTTTTCCCGGCCGTTCTGTACGAGGTTCGATTCATATTATTCGGCCCGGAAAGGTTTAGTGTTGTTTTTTTTTTGTTCACTGACATGTACAAATTTCTTCGGAAAACTCAACGAGCAATCAAAGAAGCGTAAAATGTATACACAGACAATACATGATCGCCGATCATTAAAATCTCTTCAAAACAAATATTTTAAAGCGACTTCACACTTCCCAAGTACCCAATTACGAGGAATAAAACGTGGAAAAGCTCTCGAACAAAGCAAATCGTAAAAATTACTCGCATAAAAATGGACTTCAATATTGCTCGACTCACTTTCTGTATGGTTTTATTGTTGATAAATTTATAACTTATCCTGGTAACAATTCGTATATAGGACCCATTTATTACTTAATCAACCAAAATTAATAGAGAACATTCTACCATTCTTCTTCTAGTCAATCTTGTTTAGGATTAGATTCTCTAAAGAATGAAATATATTCCTCTCTATGCATATAAGAGCTCGTACGATTTTTCCATCGCTTAAAATCCTCAATTCGAATACGGAACGGAATAAATTTGTAATGGCCCGATGCTTTTATTGTAATCCAATAAGCCGAATGGATTGTCGTGGGCCGGCTTTAGCCTCCGTTATGGGCGATTACACGCGCCTTAACGGCCCGATTTGCCGTAGGAAGTGTTAAATTATACCGAAACGTTAACGCCGATCAATCGAATCGTACACGAAATTGCCATCGATCAACTTTCTAAATGGACTCCGCGACATGTCGCCGCTTAATCGGCCAATTTGTGTTACATTTAAGCATCGCGCAATTTGCATCTATAATTACCTATAAATAAAATTATTAATAAACCACCGGTTTCTTGAGATATTAGGTTAGTTTAGGACGTCGATTATAAATAATAATGAAGCACGTCTAATTTCTCAATTTGAGCTGATAGAAGATTCCGCCACCCCGATGATTAACCCCAATTTGGAAGCAGTAAATTATACTTGTCCACTCGATATCGTCCTTATTAACTCGACATTTATGATATATATTATTAACGATAAACGGTACGAGAAACCACCCCATAAAAACCCATAAATACGTCAAGCCGGTCGATTTGGGGTGGTTCTAATTGGACCACCAGTCGACCGGCTAATTCGAGGAAATTTTTCGAATATTTTTAATTAGATGAACCGGAATTTAGGGTGTTTAATTTCCAGTAGACTTTGTTGCTTCTAATATATCGTATTGTCCTCGTATATTTTCGGACACTTGCATCGACTAAATGATTCGGTGAAAGTAACGCGAAATTATTATTAATTTTAATCGTCCGTGGAAAATCGATGAAGGTAATTAATTAAAGTTGTTCGTAATAAAACACGAATTATAGATGGCGATAAATTTTTTAGAGATAAAATAAAATAATTTATCATTTAGTTTTCAACGGTTTTTTTTCGGAATTAATATCTCATTTCGTTACGAAATTTGTATTTATCGTTTGTTCATAGGGATTAGGGATAACGATTTGTTTTATTATACAGGGTGTTCCTAAACATCGTGTACATCCGAAAGGGGGTGATTCCTTGGCTTATTTTATGACTAAAAGTATCTCAAAAACAGCAGGAGTTACAAAGAAAAAACAAATAAAAAATTGAAATTTCAACACCTTGTAAATCGGTAACGAAGCGTTTGGGGACCCACGTTTATATGAACTTTTAGTCATAAAATAAGGCAAGGAATCACCCCCACGATGTTTAGGAACACCCTGTATAGTTTATACGTAGACATCGAGCAAAATTATTCGATCTACACCCATATCAATTTAAAATGCGGGATAAACCGTGGTTTTTGTCATAAGACCAAAAGGTTTCACTAAAGGATGAAATAGGTGACGTGTACGATATGATCGCAGGAGACGACCCCCCGTGGGACATTTATTGTTTAGGCTCTCTGTAGCGACTTGTGGAAGCCTTGCTAAGTTCATAATCTATTGCCCTTACAGTGGTGGAGATCTCCAAGTGCAAGGGCTTTGTCACAAATGTTAAATTTCCATTGAAGTTTTCTTTTAAATTCTTCCTGTTATTAATGAATCAAATTTGCAACGTTTCAAGTTTATATCATTGTTGTAATGTCAATGTCGTTATCCAAAATTATCATTAGTGTCAATGTTATCGAGTTTATTGAAACTTTTTAATCTATCCTCGTATAATGTATTCATGAAAAAGAATAATAAATGTACCTACGAGAGTTCCCTATAATCCATAGTGAATGATTTATTTGTTCTTCTAATAGAATTTTACCTATTTATTTGTAGTAAACATGGAAGATAGCGCTACTTACTTTTATTTCCTTTTAGGTAGGCATTTTTTCATAAATTATTGCTTGTTGGTTTTTGATTTATACGGAATTATAATTCTAATTAAACTGAGTTTTTCTTAGAAATCGTCTGACAATAGTGAAAAAGAATTCCTAGAATGTAAATACTTAGTAAATTTATAGGAAATTCTTGAAATTTTATAAAATAAAACTTTCTCGCTTGTAATAGGAGCTACTTCGCTAAAAAAACTAAATAAAACCAATATAATCGTTTCTTATAATTTTATTGTAAATGCATACGAGTTGGAATGTATTGTATAAATTAAAGACAATGCCTACAGATCTTATTTAACAATAATGAGGCTAACATTTAACAACAGAGATATACATAGTTACAGATTAGTTCGAAAAACAACGTAAATTCAAAATGCATTTTGTCTCGAATACTGCGATAAATTAAAATGGCAACATCGCCGAAGTGTTTGAAAATTGCGTTGTTTTTCAATGAGATATATTTTAATTATCAAAACATCAGTGAATTTCGAATTAAGGGGAAAAATGGGGGCCTCAGTCGTGTTTTTTTTGGTACTTCGCAATCTTTTTTTTCGTTTGTTAGACACCATTAAAACATGGGATTATTTCGAAGAAAATAAAGTGAAAATTATACGCATTCATAAAAATAAATAATAATGTACAAAAGTTAGAAATTGGGTTAAGGAAAAACCCCATAGGGGTCAAAATAAGAATACTGTACATTTTACATTCAATAACCTAAACGGCAAAAAATTCACAAAATAATACAAAAAAATTTTAAATTATAGAAAAATAAATTAATATAAAAGATTTTAAACATTTGTACAAATACATACAGTGAAATATATATAAATTTTTATAGTACGGTCAAAGTAGTAAATTTTAACATAAATTCCTATACACGGCACAAGAATATGTACAAATAATTACAATAAAAATAGACCAAATATTTCATCTCCTGAAAATATTTTCTCATAGTTTCATATTCAATGTTTAATTCATGAACCGGATCCAGTTTTAATGCAGTTTAAACACACACACTAAACATCTATTAAAATACATAAAAAACATCTTCATAATTATTGTTCATCTTTACTAATTGATTAGAGCATTGAAAGTCTTCTCTCTGTTCCTCTGCGATGGCTTCATTTAAGAATTTTTTTGATACGCGTCCAGCCGATCAACCGGTATTTTATTTCGATAACAAGAAAAAAACTTTCTTCGGAATTTTAATATGTAATATTTGATTTCCAAACATAATTAAAACTTTAATAAATAATAACGTCTTAAGGAAAATATCCGAAAGTGTTCCGAACGAAAACGTGTCGCAATATTTTTTCGTATTTACCTTCACGGAAAAATGTAAATACGATAAAAATATATAAAATTATATAGCCCCACTTAGCAATTAAACGAAATTTACAACTGTTTTTGTTGCTACCAATTAGATTTACAAGTCGCCTTTCGAAACGCTGGTTAATTTTTGTTCAAACAAACACAAAATAACAATTATTGTTCTACACAACTTGGAAATAATTATGAAAATAGTGATAGATTGCAGGGGCGCAGAAAGAATTATTAGAACATTGAATAAACTGTACGATCATTCTAGCAGATTGGAGCTAATAAATATACTGCTCCACAAAAGTTAAGGAAGTTCACAAATATTGAGATTAATTTAAAAGTTGCAGGATTTTTGACCACTCTGACATGAGAAAAAACATTTAATTTCACATATTTGAAAATTTGGGGATCAAAAAGTGTGTAACTTTTAAAATAATCGCAAAATTTGCGAACTTCCTTAACTTTTGTGGAGCAGTTTAAATCAACACCGCCAGCAGAAAACCCGCGATCTACCATACTTTGACCGCCTATTCACAAAAAATAATACACGAAAAAGAATAAACTAAAACCGAACAATACTCGTGAACGCTTCGCCTAAGAATCGTAGGTCTCGTTCGATCGACTGCAGATGCTCTCGAACACCTTCATCTTCCTGAACTTCGACCGGCAGAAATGCTTCCGGGCCTCCGGGCACTTGCATCCATCGTCGCTGTACACTTCTATCAGGAAATTCGCCTGCTGAATGCACCGGTTCCGGTGCCTGACGGGCCCCGCCTGCTGCACGCACTCCTGCGACACGAACTTACCGTGCATGTTGAACTTCATCTTGAGGCTCTTGTTGAACGCCGGCACCAAATTCACGTAACCCCCTGCCGTGTCTTTGTCGATTTTATCCATGAATTGACAATTCATGTTGCTTACTTTCTGTGGACAATCAGCAAGATTATCAAACCTACTTAAAAGCGTGCAATTAATAAACTCACCCTTGCTACTAAAGACGCGTGCGTTTTGTGTTTTCTATTGTGGTTGTGACGTAGACCTTTTGTTCTGTGCGGCCTTTTCCAACAGATAAACTTCTCCGCTTTCATGTCGTACAGGTAGAAATATCTCCCGGCCGAAATTTTGTATATGATACCTGCAATCCGAAATGCCGGCGTTATTTTCTATTGCTTACCGATGATGCATCTGAATGTTTCCTTACCATCTCCTTTGGCCACCACGCTGGTGCCGTTCACGTGGAGATACCCTTGGGACACGTCGTTGTATATTTTAATTCTAGTAGCAGGCCCGAAGCAATTTTGAAAGCACGGACCCAACTCATGGGAGTCCCGCACAATCAAAAACTGAAACAACAGAGAAATTCTCATACATTTTGTAACAAACTATAATCGAATTCAATTTACAAAAGGGCCAGTCCAATCCTGCCTCAAAATCACCCGAAAACAGTGTTGCCGATAGTTCGAATTAGGTAGCAATTTCTGCGAGTACACTCCTGGTGAGACAGTATGAAGGTAATCACGTTCCATTACTATTACGCAAATAATTGCGCATTAATTGTTAAGAATGAAAATGGCGGTTTAACGGGGAGTTTAAAAACGACCAATCGGATATCTGTAACTTGCAGCAAACGCAACCAATAGGGCTCGGTGCATAATAAATTAATTTAAATCGTGAATTTATTATTACAACGTTGTTATAGCACCATGAGGGACATAAATCAATTAGAAGATGCGGAGTAAATTTGTGGTTAACGAGTAATTTTAATCGTACTTAATTAGACGGGCAATTACAAGAAAAAATGATGTAAGGGTTAATAATAATAATAATAATAATAATAATGAAGAACATGGAGGTGAACTTTGATCTATTAAAATCGGATCGCCGGGCGAGTTATTTCGCTAATTTTTTTTTCGTTTCTTCTTCTCGTTCTTCTGCGGTGTCGAATCGTAAAAATGGATTTCTAGGTGTGCGCGAAGTCAATTAAAAACCGTGGCTAAAATTACGAATCGTTGCGAACGAGGCGATTATATCTTTGGTTTATTGGGCGCCGGGTGAACTGGATGGCCCGACAGCCGGCCATATAAGTAAAACAATTATAATCGCCACAATCGCATTGGACAAAGAGCAAAGAGCGACAAAATGGAGCGCTAGAAATCCTGCTGGAAACAAAAAAAAATAACGAAAGATGTATATCGACTTACCATGATAGTAAACAAATAGAAAACTAGCTTTCCTGGTTGTTTTAATATCCTGCAACAAAACAGAAACATATGTCAGTCGATTTGTGTCTAATTATTACATTAATTTTATCGATAAATCTTTAAAAACATGTGCGAGTTTAGTCAGTTGAAATGGAACAAACGTAACGCAAAAGGCCATAAATCGATGCCGCTGCACCGGTATCGATTTACGTAATATCGAATAACAAAAACAGTTTTCGAAACCGCAAAACCTCTCGAATTAACTTAATCCACTGAATTTTACTGATATTCAGTCGATCTGTTATTGTTTATTTTTACATTCTATTCGAAAAGTAGTTTAAAAATTGCTCTGCCGACTATCTGTTGATAAATTACTCGAAGGCATTTGACAAATTATGATTATTGTCCGTTAAGACTAAAACGACCAATAATAAAAATCGAATCTAACCTCAAAACGGCACAGCGGTCTATTATCTAATGTTCTTTTTATGCTAATAGCGCTTATTTAGTTAAACAAATACGAAATCGTGATGAATATTAACAATTTTTTCATCTTGCCAACGTTACCGAAGATGTGGGAAGGAAATTCGATAAGCAAGGTAGTATATCAAAATTATTATTTCGTTTCCACATTATCGTGTTTGACTCATTAGGAGAATACATATCTGTGTATAAAACTTTCAATACTTAATGGAGCTTCAGTAAAAATAATTTTAATTTACCTATCACAGTTTATTATTGCTTAAAATGTTAAATACAACGGTATATTAAATTGTTTTTAAAACATCCCAACGAATATTGCCGGTTAAATCATAAACAGCTTGTTAAAATATCGCAAACATTCAAAATCGCTTACCGACTATAACAATTCCTAATCATTCCAAATTTTACCAAAAATATGCAATTCTATTAGGGAATGTACACAGCATTTAAACTCACTCGAAGCAATCGCAAAACTATGAATGGCAGAAGGCATTTCGTGAAGAATTAAATACTCGAAAAAGCGATCCGTAAAGTACATACAGACGCCAAAGATGACTTCTAGCGATGATTTAAGCAGAAAAAAAACCGTATAGACTTGACGCCGCTCTTTATAAAGTATATTCAGGCGTCGTTTCAGTTTCAGTTGCGTTTTCAGTCCGACAAAAACGCTACAAAATCGCGTACGAGTGTGTGTAAGTGAAATTGATACAAAAAAAAAACTTATCGTCCTGCCGACGACAAGTCGGTGACAATGAAATCGAAATTAAAGATCACCGTGCTGATTTTTTTATTGCGGCGTCTATTTTTAGATTATCTGATTTTATTTTACTCCATTATGTATATTCAATCCGAGCGGTCGTTTACAGGTGCGATAAATTTTGATTCGTTTGCGAATCTATATTAAAGTTCATTCGATAAAAGTAGCGAGAAAATACTAAATACTCCTACGGTTTAATACAATGAATTAGGAGCCCAAATCCCATTCACCGGGTCTTCCTTCATTCACAAACGCCGGTGACAGATCGTTTAAATCGCATTTTTAAATCTTCTTATTGTCAGCTTTGCGCTTTCATGTCCAGGTCCGTATAAAAGGATAAAGGTGAATCATTATGTGAACCCTTTCGGGACGTCGTTCACTTGACTGTTACTGTCTGACGATGAAAGGATTATACCTATTTTGTTTATTTATTCCTCGAGGCATTCAAGTGTCACCTCGCGTTGTATTAGATCGAAAATACTTGCCGGGGGAGTAAAATAACACGCTATGAATTCCACTAAAATATCATGTTTGTGTTGATGAAAGTGTAGAGAATTTTATTGACTGCATATTCTAATTTTCTATTCAACTAATAAAAATCGTATCGACAGGTTTTTAAAAGCTTAATCGTCCTAAAGTCGCTCCGAAAATGGGCATTTCTCCGACCGGTCCCTTTCGAATCGAACAGTTCTCAATTATCGAATTATTCGGAGAAATATTTTAATTAGTTTTCGGTTGATTTAAGTGCCGCATCGGAGCGTCTATAGTGCGATTAACAATCGTGGAGAAAATGTCCCGTTGCCGCCGCACTAACGACCGTTCACCGATCGAAAATTTATACGACTAATAATGGAAAAATAAAAAAAAAATCTGTCGAAAGCATTAATTGCGGTGATTTCAAACATGGAACATCGTCTGGCGCCACCTAAATGTGACGTAAATCGTGTTAAAACATCACTATAAAATATCGGATTTAATTTTTTTACCGCGAATGCATTTCCTTCGGCCATTTTGCGCTGTAACTTTTACAATACCTGCATTAAAGGTGTTTCAAATTGTTGGAAAAATTGTAAAAGTAGAGCTCCTTCTGTATAATGCGATAATTGTAACTAGGAAATAAAAATCGCGTGGAATAAAAAAACAGTTCGTGAACTTGGTAATTTTATAAGGCGAAGGTTTCAAGACTTCCTCATTCAAATCAAAACACTTCATTAATTTCGAAACGTATTCCAACCACCTGGCCAACAATGATTTCTTTGCTAAATGGGCGTACCCGGCTTTGTGTTTTAATACACTTAAAATTACATGTTAACATTAAGCAATTACAGTGCCGTGTAAAGAAACATTTTTTTTTCTTCTAAAAATACTCTTCGTTTACAACAAACCCGCTATTCTACCGACTCAAATTGAATTATACGACTCTACTTGGGTTAGAAGGTGAATATCTCTTATAATTTTTTTGCATTTCCAGCGAAGTTACGCCACTGCGCAATCGAATAAAAACTGGGTAATTAATCACTCGTAAATGTGTATTTGAATTTCTAATTAAAGACTAACCATTTTATGCAAATCGGAAAAGTTGGCGATGACATGTGTCACTTGAATTGAGTGGCTGCTTCATCAAAAATTGCAACACTTTGGAATAACTTTGTCGCTACTTTAAGTCCTTAGCAATTTTTATTAAGGCGAATAAGGAAAAATATATGAAGGTAAAGATTATAAAGTTTTCCTTAGTAGAGCGTGATTTTGAAAATTTTTGCCTATAAGGCGATGAGTTTATTAAGTTTTCCTAAAAACGAAAGTCTCTAAAATTTATAATTTATCGTGAACTATGAAGACTACACGTTTAATGGCGGTTTTATTGATCGAACTAAATCTTTAATATGTATTTAGGTTAACAGTATAATTTAGAACGATAAAAATTGTACAAAATTAATACCGTTGCTGGTACAATTGAATTTCTTTATACCTAATACACACAAATAGAAATTTTACGATTACAAAGATTTCTAAAATACATGCATCGGTAAAGTTATACCTAAAAATCCTTATCTATGAAATTAACTCACAAATAACCAACCATTCACCGTGCTGTCCCGTTTCCCTTTAAGTGAACTGTCCCCCCGAAAGCGATTTATTGGTGTGATTTTTAAGAAAAAAGGTCCGAGTCGGAGGTGTTACTAAGATTATTATTTGCCGAAAAAGGCGAAATAAAGTCGTCGGAGCATCCGGTTTACCTGCGTTTACCTGGTTTATTTCGACAATTACAGGCTTCGGGGTACTACCCGTTTTCGATACTCTATAATGCAGCTCGAGGTGTCGTGTTTTTATGGCACCGACGTTAATTTAAAGTGTCAAAAAATATTAGGCTTTGTGTTGGCTTTCTTTTCGAAAAGGAAAGCGACCCTCTACAGGGTGATCGACCGTTAGGACAAATTAACAAACGCGCTACATTAATCTTAATTAAACTATTTGAAAAAGTGGAGGGCCATTAATTAGCGTCGTATTATTTGGGTTAGCGAGCCCCGAATTAAGTCGTATCGGGCATATAAAATGACCCGACCCCACATTATGTGCTAAAATCGGTTATTTAATTGCCGTGCTCGGGATTATAGTTATTAGTGTCGGGAGTAAAATGACGGGTCGTAATTGTAGGGCACGGAATTAGGCTTTTAATAAAACTGCATGGGTGGTTTCCTGCGATTAACAATCTTCCAGAATTGAGTTGTAGAAATATTTCGTCTTTCAAATCATAATTAATTTTTTTAAAGGAGAATACGATTTAGTGATTCGTTAACCCCACAAGCTTTTGTTGACTTTTCGAGCAATAAAAGGCGATAAAAATTCCCGCGTTCGATTGCAAAAAAACGTGTAAATATTTTTCGAGTTGTATACTAATTAACGATGTAATAAATTTATTGAGCGAAACTATACTTACAATCAAATTACACGACGTCGAGATGGAGATTTCGGGATAAAAAAAAAATCGATTAACCCGATATTTACGTTCGAGCGCAGCCTTTAATTTAAACCGAGTTTAGGCAGTAGGTACTTACATCAAACTAGGTATTTGATTAACCTCGTAAATTTGACTAATGAGCGTCTGACAGGCTTAAATGCCGTTAAAACCCGCGTGTAATCAAGATTGAAAGAAGCCCGATGCATTTCGAGTTTGATGAAAGAACTTTTTCAATCGAAACACCCTGTATTTACTTATATGTAGTAAGGTAGACTGGGGGCAAATCGGTTGTAAAATTTGAATAGTTCAAATTAAATCCTAAAATGTGGCTTTATTTTTTCTATTATTAGAAATGCCGATACCACATTAAATTCACAACTTACCTAATTAAAGAATCGAGGTATTAAAAAGTTTTTTTTGAAAAAGGAAGAAAACGATTTTACATATTTTTTAAAATGTTGACAATATATTACATTTGCCCCAATCTACCTTACCAAAAATAAGTTCTTTTTTGAATAAGAAAATTGTAGTAGGTGTATAAAAAAATAATAGTTAATTACGGTATTACATCGGATTCATTTAGGTATTCAAATTGGAAAAATTCCAGCCCGCCGGAATGCGAGAAAACCGACACTTTACGATGCGTATCGAACGATTTTGATTGGGATATATTTCAAATAGTCGAATTAAAAATCAGTAGGGACGCTTATATTTCGGAGAAATTCGGTTTACCCGGCTCACCGTTCGCATTTGAATAATCGAGCGCAAGTAAAACGGGCGTGTTCCTAATTAATTAAAGTCGTCATTAGAAGAAAAATTAGGCGTCAAATGCGTGAAATGTTTCGGATACCGGCCCATCGAAAATGTATA